ATTTGAATCAGATCCAATTAATCTGAGTTTAAATTAAATTAAGTGTCTACACCACTAAAAAATTACCGTTAACCTCTTAAGTCGAGATCTGACCTTTTTTTTTCTTTCAAAACACTCTTAAATCTTCTCGACCTTCAAAGTTTTTGGTCAAACCCTTCTTTTTTTTTTTTTTTTTTGCTTAGCTTTCTGCTTTTGGGGCTGTCGGTCCACATTCCCGAGAGCTGTTTGTGTGTGTTTGGTTATGATGTTTTGGTTTTCTAATAAGCTAGAAAAATAAATTTTGGGTTTCTATCTAGGGTTTTTTTTTTATAGAAACTTTTTTTATAACAACTCTTCTTTTTTGTTTTGACAAAACCCCTTTTTTTTTTCTCTTTGAGTTTTCTCTAGGATTCTCCGTTGTCTTACTAGATCGATACTCTATTTATAAAGTCAAATAAAATCTAAGATCCCTTAAAATCTAAGATTGTTTGTTAAAAATTTGCTTAAGATTAAATCAATTGTCAGAGGGCTGCCAATGATTGTCAATGCAGCTGGCAATGGTTGGAATATTGGACTTAGGGGTGGATGCATTTAATGCACCAAAACTTTTGACAAACAAACCAAAAAAGATAAGAAAGAAAGAAGAAATAAAATAATAGTAATAATAATAATAATAATAATAAACAAAATTACATTTAAGTTAAAACTACACAAATTGGATGTTCATTCGACATCACCATCCATTATTACAATAGTAAGCCACATCCATCATCATTAATAACCTTATTTATAGAAGCACTGGGTGAATTGTGTTTCCTTAAATTAGATTAAGGTTACCAAACTTTCATATTACCTCCTATATATAGCAATTTATTGAAAGCCAAACTGCTATGGCTATACCATTACTGGAGGAATCACGAGTTGATCAAGAAATATTTGAAATAAATTTCACCTCAATTTTTCAATGATCCCATTTTTATATATGACACCTATAATATTTCATTGATGTTCTCCGTTAATATTTAGTCTATAAATATCAACTCAATTTGGAATTAGTTTATTATAATTGTTTCTCAAAATAAAAATCCACCATTATCCCATAATGTTTATAATATGGGTTTAGGGTCAATAAAAATCAAAATCCACCCAATTAATTATTACTTATTAGTGTCAATAAAAATAATCATATATAGGCTATTGACAGTCATTACAATACTAACAAGTAATATAATTACTATTATTCAACCAAAAAAAACATAAATAGAAAATTGAATTTTCCTGTCAACAACTACTCTATGATCCAACTTTGCCAAAAATGGGGAAATATACATAGAAATACCCGTATTATTGGTCATATGTTGTGGAAATAGAGCCATAATCAAGTTTGCTTCTATAAAGACAAATATATATATATATATATATACATATTACATAAAATTTATACATATAAAGCAATAATTGATTTTAATTAATATGATCATTTTTTTTGTATTTCTTGGAACCATACATAAACTTCAACAAATAACTTAAGTCATGTTTAATGTATAAAATGATAATCATTATATATTATATTTGATTTTGTATCTAATTAAAAAGGATAGAATTACAAGAAAAATTATCATCTCTTTGGTATAGGATAATTCAATCTTCTTAAAGTGAAAAGAATTATTTTTAATTCATGGGTTTAAACTTACATATCTTATTATACCCTTAAAAATTATATCAATAATTTAAATTATATAAATTTTAAAAAAAGATAATTTTGATTAATAAATAAATTATTCTATTATAATATTTGCACATATCAAACATAAAATAGATAGTATTATTTAATCTAATCTTATTAATAATATTATTTTATTTTATTTTATTATAATCTTATATATCACACGCATACTTAAAGGGCTATAGTAACAATAATGCCAAATATCTGAAAAATTATATAAGTAAAAAAAATTATCAACAATTGTATCATCTATTAATAGAATGTTATACAGTTATACAGATTGTGGATATAGCGGTACTTAATTTGTGTTTAGTTGCTGCTTTGCTAATAGTAATAGGTATGGCAGGTCGAACCGATCCCAACTGCCAATCCAAAACATAATTAATATTTCATTAAATTGTAGGACTTGATTAAAATTGGTTACTGCTACCCACTTTAACTAACCCTATATTTGGATTGAGGGAAAGGGAAAGAAAATAAAAGAAATTAAAAGAAAGTAATGAAAATAGAAAAAAAAAATTTATTTAGATAAATTTTTAATTTAAAAGAAACTAAAGAAGTGAAAACTCAATAATCTTTGATTTTTCTTATAATTTTTCCTTTTTTAATATCTCAATTTGAGAGAAAAACTAAAAAAAGAAAAGTTGAAAAATTTTTAATTTATAAAAATATTATTATATCTATATTTTTATTATGATATTAGATTTAATTATATAATTGACACTTCTTATAAAAAAAAATTTTTATGAGTATTTTATATAACATCACAAGTTATAAATATTTTATGATTTTTCAAGTCTTAATAACAAAACAAATTAAATTATTATCAGAATAAATTAAAAGACTGAATTAAATATAAAATTAAGAGTAAATTTATAATTACCTAATACATCTTATTGTATTAAACATGCACGATTTTATTTAAAAAATTTGTTTATATAAGCTAAATAGTATAAAAATATATTTGTTTATTATATATTATTTTATAAAAAAAAGATTATAATTAAAAAAATATATTATAATAAATTTTTTTTTTTACTATTTATCCAAATAATAGTTATTAAAATTTTTTGTTTATTAATTTTAATTATCCAAAGAGTACAAGCACTCTTTTTTTTCTTTAAAAAACTTTTCTCTCTTATTTTTTTCTTACTTTTCTTTTTCTTTATTTATATATATTCAAACATAGCGTAAATCACAATGGATCAAACCCATTTTTGGGTGCAAAAAGATTCAAACGTAATTTATTAGCTTGAGAATAGTAGATTGTGACAGTTATTCTCATAAATGGGAAGTGATTTAAAACCTTGAAATTAACATTGAGAAAGAGAAAAAATACGTACATGAAGGGAAAAAGAGGTGGGTTGAGAGCATTAAACAGAGGGGGGGGAAGGGAAACCGATGGTGAGAGTGACAACCGATGATGAAAGATGTTGAAGAAAGCGAGGTGGTTTGCAATGGTCAACCCTTGAATTCTGCATTTAAGTGAATTCAAGATGGTAGTTAATGAAGGCAGGTAGACTTACCTTGATTCCTTGAACCCTCTCTCTCTCTCTCTCTCTCTCTCTCTGAATAATATTGGAATTTGACCCTTCTTTTTTTTTTCTTTGCTAAGATTAATTTTTTCCCTTAATTATTTATGCCAATCTGCTGTCTATTGTCAGTTTAGGGTCTCACAAATTTACATTTGGTTGGTGAAATTGGGTAAATTTCATGAAAAGTCACTCAATTTATATCCAATTTTTATTTGGGTTATTGAATTTTACTTTGTCCCATTTAAATCCTTAAATTTTATTAAATATACTAAAATTGCTCATTCTAATTCATTCTACCTAAAATTTAACCCAAAAAAATGGATGAAATTTGTTAAGGTAATCAATTTTAATATATTTAATAAACTTTAGTGATCTAAATAGGATAAATTAAAATTTAATGACTCAAATTAGATTTGAATATAAATTTAGTGACTTTCATGAAATTTAAACATCAGCTGACGTGTAACCCCAAGCACATCCTACGCGTTTTTTCTCATACGAAGAAAACTTTATCATTTCTTTCTTTCCTCTTTGGGGGGTTTTCTTCTGCTTCACACTCAACCTTTCTCAAGAGAAAAGGTATTACCCATATCACGGGCCAGTTCAAAAAAAAAAAATATATATATATATATATATATACACACATGAACATGATGCATGGAAATACTGACAGGTACATATTGTAAGTTCATAATTAAACTTGAATTCATCAACAATTTTATTTTGAATATAATTAATTGAATATTCGGCATTCAGGAAAGACGAGGTTATCCTTTATTGTATTATTAAAGGAGAATTTAAAATATAAATCATTGAAAGATTTTATGGATATTTAAGTTATGATTATCTCGTACTGAGAATCGAAGAGAACGTTTGTTTGTTGGTCCAAGAAGATAAAGAGTAGTTAGTTCGCAGGAGGAAATTGGGATTTTGGAACATGAAGATAAAGTGCAGCTGATATTTGATAGGGAATATATGGTGCTTTTAAAAAAGAGAAAAGGAAACAAAGAAGTGTGGGGAAGACAATAAATTTGAGCTCATGGGAAATTAGTTGTGTGTGTGTGTGTGTGTGTGTTTTATATAGCTGAGGGAGTGTTGAAGCTTTAAAAGCTTGATCAGTTCTTGGAGTGATTAATTGATATAGGTCATTTGATATGGGATTATGTTTAATAGAAAAAAAAAAAAAAGGGGGGGGGGGGGGTTGGGGATGTTGAAAGCTTTAAAACTGTTAATTCTTTGAGTGACCCATTTGTGGAAGGTGGAGTTATTATGCTATTAAAGATCCATTGGCATTCAAGAATCAATATCTTCCTCCTTCAACTGCATAAGACTCTTCTCATTTAATGACCCTCTCCTTCCACACCTCTCACCGCCTTTCTCAAATACCTAAAAAAACTTTTGGGTTTTTGGCTTCGCCCAGTTTTGAGTTTATCACTTCTGTCAAATATGGCTTGAAAATACCCACATCAGGATCCTGTAATGTCACATAAGAATGGTTGAGTTTAGGTGTAACTGCTTTGCCAGGGCTTTTAGGAGACATCAAGATCAGGTGAAATGCGTATATAATTAATTGACCAAAGAGAGGGTGGTTGAACTTCACATCTTAGCTCTGAATAGCAGCAGCTTGGAGCTGTGCAGTTAATTGAAGAGCCAACTTGGAACGCCCGTCAGGCATAGGTAGGCCCTTCCTTTTGGTTAATTTCTACCTTCAAAAACTTGCCCTCTCATAGAATCTTCCCTCGCAGCTATATGTCCTTGCACCCTAAATTTCAGCCTATATAACTCTACCTAAAAGTATCACCCATTTGATCACCCTCTCTCTCTCTCTCTCTCTCTCTCTCTCTCTCTCTCAAAAGATGGAAATAATCAAGCGATCAGCGGAAATTAAGCTAGTTTAGTTTTAGAGTATTTAATTCTATATGGTTTCCCTTCAAGCCTCTCTCTCCTAGACATGAGAAAAACGACAACCCCTGAGTTAGAGGATTCATCAAACAAGAGAAAGTTGGAAAAGCCACTAGGTGATGAAAAGTTTGACTTGGAGCTACACCTCGAGACTCCATTACCTTTGGAATGGCAAAGATGTCTTGACATTCAGGTATATAAATATCCTATATGTTATGAACTTCCTACATATTCGCATTCCAAAATATCTAATCAGAATCCCAGATGCAGCATATGCTTATTGTTACGTAAACAATACTATAAACTTATAATAATTGCTTGCGCTTCCTCTGTGTTCAGTCAGGGCAGATACACTTTTACAATACGAGGACCCATACGAGAACTTCAAAGGATCCAAGGAGAAGCCCTGAACCCCAAAGCCCTGCTGGTCACATGAGGTTAGACCTTGAGTTAAACCTACCATGCGATTCAGCAAGGAAAATTGATGCAACTGATCATCATCACAAATTCAACAAGGACAACTCTGTTAGCCCAACGAGGGGTGGCTCAGTTGATAAGAAGATCAACTCCTTATCAGGAGGATTAACGCAGAACCTTTCTTGGTTGGCAGTGGAGGTGGATAATGAGCAAGAACAGCAAGAGATGGTAGCCACAGCGTGCATGCGGTGCCACATGTTGGTGATGCTATGCAAGTCATCACCTGTATGCCCTAACTGCAAATTCATGCACCCACCAGACCAAGTCCCTCCAAAACTATTCAAGCAAAGTCCTAGCCTCCTGTGCTAGTGAGGATCATCAAGTTCTTAAGTTTAGCACAACATCCACTCCGACGTGCGTTAAAATTTGTATTTCTCAATTCCTCTTGAAAAGCTAAATAGTCTGCTGCCCAGAGGTTTTAACTGATATATATATATATATATATATATATATATATGCTTCTTAATCAGTTAATCTCCAAATGAAAAATGTCTACCGAGAGAGAAAGAGTGAAAGAAACTAACTTATATAGTGCACTGACTTGTATGGTATAGATACGGTAACGCTTTGTATTTCTTATTTTCTTTAAGCAATCTGATATTATGGTGTGTAAGAAAATGGTGTCTCACTGAATTCCAGCAATTCAATTTGCAATTAAAAAATCTAAGTGGCTCTCTTTTGTACATGCATAGCTATCCCTTAAAGGCAACCTCTTGCCTCTGATGCTTTGCCTGTGTCAAAATGAAGCTAAAATGCAGCCCGAAACCTCAATTTCAATGTACCTGTTTTCTTAAGCCAACTCACTCCATAATCAGCACCTTGTTTACTCAATTGCTTTTCCTGTTACACCATCAAACAGTCTCTGATCATGATCTAGATGACCGAACAAAAGCCAGGCTGAATGGGTTTGTGAAGATTAATCCGAAATTAGTGCAGTTAATATAACATGATACTGTTCTGCATTTATTGGCTTCATTTTGAGAACGAATACTTGTAGTGGATGTTGTAGATTTGAATTTTAAGTCAAGATAATCAAGCTAGACAAAAATTTAACTTTTAATTTGTTCCCTAACTTGACAGTTTTACAGTTGCATAGAAACCCTTATAAATCTTCTAGATATAAATACCATCTACAATATCAGGAACTGGCAAAATTCAGCTGCATCTAACGATATGTTGTAATGCTATCAGCAGAGATTGGCCTAGTATAAAATGAGACAAGTGTAGAATCCTGACACATACTGCAGAGCAGAGATAAGGAGAAGAAGTTCAAATGTTGTCATCAGCATTAGTTAACAGGGTTATGAAATTAGGTAGCAAGACTACCAGAAAGTATCTGAAAAGGGTGTGCTTGCAAACATCATTGCCTGATACTGTGGTTTGAGATTGACTCTATAACTGTGTACAAAATTTCCTGATGGTATTTCTTCATATATTTTCTATGCAGATGTAATTGCTACCGTATCTCTTGTTGCTATCAGATTTCCTGAGGGAGATGATTCAGCGGCGGAAAATGGTTTGTGTCTGAAACTTGCCATCAGGGCAATGTGGTCCGATGACCATAGAGGTGATGGAAGACCAACACCTAAGCTTTCAGAGTCGAGAAGCTCCAACTAACCTTCAACCCTCAAACTGTCCGCTGTTGGAAAATATCAATGTAGTCAGAGAAACTTACATTAAATATAAAACCATTAAACCAAAAACTAAAACAAATCATAAAAAATTAAGTGATTGTACTGCAAAACTTAAACAAATATTAGCTAGAAAATTGATATATCTGGAAACTTCATCTACATTAATTTGAACAAGAACTTAAAAAAAAAATGTTAAGAAACTGAAGTTTGAGAACATTTTCCCACAACAGTGCATGTTTAAATTTGTGCAATTACTCACTTAAAAGGCTAAAATAAAAAATCAATTTTTAATCGCCATTGGATTGAGGGATTATTGAAGAGTGAAGAATAATTGCATATGGTATTGTATTTTCAAACATAGGTTTTGCTTCTTGGTTTTTCCACTTTGAAAATCACATGTCAGCATATTCTATTTAAGAAATAAAGAAATGATTATTTTTTATTACTTCTATTTAAGAAGTAAAATATTTTTAAAAAAAATTATTTTCGCATGTGTATTATCCAATGAAATGTCTTCAGTATTAGATTTAAGAAGTAAAGACATGACCAAAATTATTGAAATATATATTTATAAATATATTTATGTTGTATATAAATATTTATAAATATATCTAGACCTATATAAAATATCAATAACAATAAAATAAACAATTAAGATTTACATTATTTAACAATCCAAATACTTTTCTAAATACCAATTAAATATATATTTAATAAATAACATATAAATACCAAATTACATCAAACAAAAATCATATAAAAATATTAAGAAAAAAATATATTTATATATTTTTAGATTTAAATATATATTGAAAAAAAATATTTATATATTTTAAAATTTATAATTATAAAACCTAACTCTATACTATTTTAAATGCTTTTCTAATTCTCGTCATCTTCTTTTTCCTTTCACACAAAGCAACCAACCGCCATTGCTAAAAGAGAGGAACCAAGTTTTACAATTAAGGAGAGTTGTTAATCAAAGCAAAACAAAAGTATTTAAACACAACCACCATCATTACACAGCAGATATTACAGCCATTCATTCTCCTTCAAAATTCAATCCATTTCTCCCCTCTCCAGTCTCCTCCTTTGGTTTCCGATGACGCCGCTGCCCCCATTGCGAGATGCGGTAACTTCTTTCTTCATTTTTTTTTTCATTTGCTAAATGTTGTGGTATTTGGGTATTAAAGTTAAATATAAAAAAAAAAAAAATACTCGTTATTTTGCATATCAGCAATTTTCGCTGAAACGGTCCCAAACAAGTCGAAATTTCCAATATTATACTGTTCAATCCGGAATAAAAAACGATACGAAAATATAATCAAAGTATACCAAATTTATTTTAAAATGATATTTTCTGTCTATTTTTTATTATTTTTTAAATATCTCAAAATTATAATTTTTAACATTTAAAATTGTTATTTTTTTATTCTTTAAATTAAAAATTATAAAATTTTAATTTTATAAAAATTTAAAACTTAAAATTAAATAGATTAAAACTAAAGATTTTTTAATTCTATAAAAATTAATACCATTTAAAAAATTTAAAATGAAGGGAGTATATACTGATGGAAATTCTCGATATTCGTACAAAATCTGTAACCTTGGTACAGATGCATCCTCTAAACTTGTCTATGACACTCTCTCTTTATGGACCTCCTAAACTTAGTTTTGTTCTAAGATTTTAGCTTAAAAAAATATTTAAGTAGAACAGAAATCATATACTATTGAATATTGCCCAATAAATTTTGCTTTGGTATTGTATTTGGCTATTAATTAAACTAGGAACGACGTCGTTGTAAACAATCATGACATACAGTTTAAGCCTATGAGGTTTATTGTTGATTAAGAAAAAGATGAAAGACTATACTTGGATTCATTAAATCTATTAATTTATGGTTACCTCATGAATTTTTTATTTTTATAAAATTTTTAACAGCCAAATAAGTCTATTTTTAATAATTAAGAATTATTTTTTCAACCATATATTTAAGAAATCAAATTTTTTTATGGATTTTTGCCGACATTCATAGACGGATCTACATATTTAACATGGATATCCCAAAATTTAAAAAAGAAAAAAAATTTAACGCTCTGGAAATTTTTTCATGGACACTATTTTTATTAATAAAATTAATAAATGCAACGATAATTACATATATTATAAATAAATACTTTAAAAAACTTCTGAATAGTACATATAGACAATGTCAACAATCACTCAAAACTGTCAAATATGTATCACGTAATAATTTAGACAATTTCTAAATTTAAACAAAATTTAACATAATCATGCCCTATTTTTTTTTCCTTTGTAAACCAAGCATTTGTGCAATGTTTTCCATTAAAAACTTCATTGATATAGGAAAATTTTCCAATAAACAAAAAAAAAAAGGTTTTTGATTCTGGAAAAAATGGTGAAAATGTCTTTGACGAGTTTGTTTTTTGCTCTGCATTAATGTTATTCAGCATAGTCGAAGTGGCAGAGTCAGATTTTGTATACTTCGATTTTGTATGATGGATTGTTTGCCAGCAAAGTGTAACTCACCCCCTAGAAAACCCAGCTTCAAGTGTCATCTCAAGTGCGAAGTCAATTGCATGGTTGTTGGACCTCTCACCTTCTCTAACGTCAGATATGGTGTTGGTGGTAATATTTAAGTATAGTTACTTTTTGCATCATAAAAGTACCGATGAAAGCAAATAGTTATATAATTTATTAATAAAATTTTGAACTTTTATCAGAATTCAATCCTAATAGTCTCAAATATTAAAAAAAATACAGATGAAAGTTTACATTTTGTTTAATTTTACATTAAATAATATATTAGTTTATTTGGTTTTGTAATTATTTTTTTTTATCAAATTAAAAAACCTGTAATTGTTTCTTATGTTCTCATTTGTTGGATGTAGCAACAAAACATATTCCAAACAATCAATCTTCTCCACAATAATCTCATAGATCTGATCAGAAAAAAGAATTTATCATTCCAAATGATCCATTTTTTCCACAATAAACTCATGGATCTGATCAGAAGAAAGAGTTTACCATTTCACATGGTCTATTTTCTCCACAACAAACTTATAGATCTGATCAAAAGAAAGAGTCTACCAAAAATTGATTGCAAAAGTTATAAGCCTCAGTTACTCCTTCCAAAATGCATTTAGCAAAGATGAGGGATGGATACTATAAGAAAATAAACTTTTAGCAACTCCAATTTGTAAGGACAGAAAATATTGTTGCAGAATTTATTATATTTGTAAAGATGTTGCTTAATAAATTCTTTTATTCTTTTATACAATGATAAAAAAAAAAAAAAGGTATTAGTATATTATTATATTTGTAATAACTAAAAAAAAATTGGTTGCAAAATCATATAAATTGAAAATTTTTTTAATATTTTATACAACGATAACTTTTATTATTACAAATTCTTACCATATTCATATGATAAAAAAAAATTATTGTGATTTGTTATATTGGTAAAGAATTTTCAATACCTTTATTTTAATTATTTTTAATATTTTATACAACAACAAAAAAAAATTTATTATTAATATTTTGTCATATTTATAATGACCAAAAAGTTGCTAAATAACATAAAATTTGAAATGATTTTTTACTATCGTTGCTTAAATGAATTTTTGTAATATTTTATATAATGATAATTTTTATTTTTACGAATTTCTATTATATTCGTACCGACAAAAAAATTAATCACAAATCATATTATATTTATCTACCAAAAATTGATTGCAAAAGCTATAAGCCACAATTACTCCTTCCAAATTGCATTTAGCAAAGATGGGCAATGGAGCTAATACAAATTTGGACACGTTGTTGCATAGAGAGAGGAATTGAAAGGGACTTGAATATGTATATTCAGCCTGAAATAAATTACGAAGATTAATAAAACAAAATAATTTTATTATTCTATTATTGAAAGGGATTTGAAAGTCTTGCATCGTTAATTTTATCTACTAAAATATATCAAAATACACTAGATTCAAAAAGCACTTTGTTCATACTAAAACATATTTTCGTAATTTTATTAAAAAAAAATTAACGATGTCATCTTCTTCGCAGGAAAGCTATTTGAAAAAAAAAAAAATTAGAGTTTACCATATTTTTAATATCTTCAAAATGAAACTTGAACTTACAATGAAAACTAGATTTCAAACCCGCAGCTTCGCTTGCGAGAGTAAAATCAGCTGAATTATGCAAATACAACTAAAGCAATTTCTCGAAATCCATGAGATGAAGCATGATGACGGTCGCCTATTATGAAATAGATGGCAGGAAGGAACCATATCCTTATGTTTAAATGAAAGCCACTAACATTGTCATAAACATCAACAGAAATGCATATAGTGCCACCAAATATAATACCTGAGCAAAGCAAAACGCCTAATAAACTACGTCAGCTCCAACAATCCATTACTTCCATTCAGTTCAATCCTAACCAACGGTTACCATACTTGCATACAGTAAAAAAAAAAACACAGGTAGGATGGTTCATGGTGCACATGTGATATACCTTCTCATTACCCGCCTAGAGAGCTAATTTATCAATAAGATAGGTAGCAATTGTTATTTGCCACTTTCTAACATCTTTAGTTGTAAAATCCTTAGTATATGCTCTTCTGATGTTTTTGATATAATCCTGCATTTAAGGCAGATACATATATTACACATGGTTCACTAAATAAAAACTAAAAGCACCATCAAATCGCTTATGACCTTCAGCATCCTTGCTTTCTCATATTTTTCCTTGTCACTTTGAACCTTCAAAGAACTGCTAGTTGCCAAAAATACGTATTTGAATTCTTTTAGATTAATGGGATCATTCCAGAAAGCTAGCCATGTGACAGTATTGTCATGTTTTATATCTTTCCATCTGCCAATCAAACAAAAAATCCCAAAGTTAAAATAACCCAAATTGAAAATAACCTCCAGTCATTTCATATATTCTAGAAAATGAATGCTCTCTCTCTATCTCTTAACCTTTCAGCAGGGATTGGACATTCCGGAATTGGGGCATCCCTTGTGATATTAATGGTAATGTCACTTGGATGAATATGTCTCTTCAACTTTCCCATATGATAGGCAACAATAAAATTAAAAGAAAATAATGTAAAAATCTTGCAAATTCAATTATCAGACTAAAACATATGATTCTCTATAGCTTTAGAGTTGTCAAACATGTCAACAATACTTTTCGATGTTCTCGCCAGCCTCGAAAAAGCCAGGTGGTTCAACTCTGAAATATCCTACCTTTAATTAAAACAATCATCTGAATTAGCAAGAACTTTATAAGAAACAGAAAAGTGACTAATAAATCAAAAGAAACTAGTTCAATTTTAGTAGATCTTGATGAGATTGGTGGAAGAGGAAAAAGAATAGTTATATATCAATATTACTCTCCAGAAACAAGATAGAATTGGGATAAACAGTAACAAATTAAATTAAATCCAAAATAAATGAAGTTTTAAAAAGGACAAATCAAATTTTATATTGAAGCTAGATCTTTACCTTCTCTTTGATGCCATCAAAGATAGCCCATATATATTTGAAGCATAAAGAAAAGGGCATTTGCAGCAAGATAATATTTTACTAATAAGAACTAATTATCATCAAAGAGTCATAAAGTTAAAAAAGTTTAGTCAAATAATTAAAGACGAAAAAAAGGAATTAGTTCGCAAAAGTTGCATTAAATCAAATGCAGTTTAAAGCGATGGGGCTCAATTCTCTTATGCATTCCAAGAGAAGTGGCATTCTTTGCCCATAAAATGCTAAATTACATTAGTATAAATTTGTATTTCCACAATAAAAATATAAACATGATATATCTATATAATAATTAATTATCATTTCTCTGTTTGAGTTTTGTGAAAGATATTTACGTTATTATATTCAGTTCATCATATTATCTATTCATTACATAAATTTTCCAATTCAGATTTATTTAATTTCTAATTAAAAATAGGGTATTATATGCCTTGCCTTACTATTTTTCCTTTTAAAAAGACAGATAAAGTACTATTTTCCATCCTTCTTAACAATCATAAGAAAAATAGAAGTATTCTAACTATTGGATGTAGAAGGGATCAAGCATGCACACTAATACCAAATATCCTCAAATATCCTCAAATATCTCAAACTAAGGAACTATATGTGCAGGGGCAAAATATTTTGGACCATATGATATAGTGACTCATACCATATCAATGTATAATTTATATGATCTTACGACATAACTGAACTGCGAATAAAGGTATTGATATCCTTCGGAACAGGGAAAGGATTGCTTGGATTAACATTTTCATTGACGTCTTCAATTAAAAGAGTAACCTCTGGCAGCTTACAAGCAATAGCAATTGCAGGAACATCAACGTAGAACGACTGTCTTGAATTTGGATAATAAGCTGGAACAAATATGCTTGGCTTCTCATTCCCTTGGACAGAAGTAATAACAGGGGCTTGATCCTGTAAGTTCCAAGGAATTTTAGACTTTTTCTCCTAAAATATTAGTCATCAGCAGCAACCAAAGAATTATGGGATGATAAGAGACAACCTCAACAACTTTTGGCTTCTTAAGTGATCTATAGCAAAAAAAAAAAAAAAAAACACTATGCATGACAAAAAAAATCCAAACAGAAAACTTATTTTAATATGCTATTTGCCAAAATCAAATCTCCCATCCGACAAGACTCCCCTTTAAGACCCAAAAAAAAGAAATAAACTTTTTCGATGGGTTACCTTTCTTGTATAACAGAATCAGCAGTCTCTATAATCTCCACCTCCATTTAACCATAAAAGAGAAAGAGAAAAAACAAAATTAAATTAGCAATTCATGTGCTAGTCAAAATGGTACAAAAGATTAGCAATTCCACGGCTTTCTACACTATCATACCATAAGAAACCTTAGTAACAACATAATCATCACAAAGCAATGCACGCTAAATTGCAAACCCTAACAAACCAACAAACTTTCTCGATGCACAAACTTTTACTGTAAAAGTAATCATGCTTTTAGACAAAGTAATAATGCAAGGGATAACTTACAAGTTCAGAAAACATACCTAAGAGTGCTAGTAAAGAAGCTTTCCCTATGGCACTTTAGAACCTGATTTTGCTGGTTTAATTGGTTTATTCTTAACCCGACCAATAAACCCTGCACCAATCGCCTTCCCTTTCTCCGTATCCATAGCAGCTTCACCTACTTAACCAAAACAAATCCCCACATCAGAACCCCATAAAAAACACAAACCAACCCTGCAAAAAATTAGAACCCTAAAAACATAAAGAAGAAATCAATCGAGCATCGCACATAAGTCTTGCGAAGACACCAAAGTAGCATTATCCACATCAGCATCAGCATATTTATCAGGGACAGACACATCAGATGCCTTAGCCGCATCAGATACCCACAGATCAGACCAGAGTTCCATTACCAATAAGTCTGACCCAGATTCCTTAGGCGGGCCTAGAGCTTTGTTAAGAGGTTCAAAAACGGCAGCTCCATTGCTTGATGACGACACTAACTTAGATAGCTAAAGAAAAAAATCAGCCTTAGATTCAAATATAAAGAGAAAGAAAAAGTTTTGACATGCATGCAAATTAAAAATGCTAAAGAAAAAAAATTAATTGTTAAAAAACAAAGATAGAACCTTGGATTTTTGGAGAAGCTTCTCCCTTCAAGCTTTTGGAGAAATTTATGAAACAAGATAAGACTTTGGATTTTTAGAGAAGCTTCTCTTTCCAAGCTTTTGGAGAAGTTTTGTTTCTAAAATTACCCTTTAATTTTTCTTTTTTACATTGCATATCTGTCTGTTCCAAGCTTGTTAGGGGATAACTTTATCCAGGCTGTATAACAATCGGCCAATTTCTAGAATTTTTTTCTTATGCTGTTTGGTATTTTAGAGAGTAGGTAAGGAGGAGAAGAAAAAGAGAACAGAAAGAAGAAAACAACGACTACCAGTAATAGCCAGCATCAATGCCGATGACAACAGGTTTGTTAGGCTATGGGGTGAATTAATCAAGTTTAAAAACATTGTGAGAATAAAAGCAAATTTTGAAAAGAAAAGAAGAAATTGTAAGAAGCATATGAAGCTTTTGGAGAGAAGCTTTTGATCAAAATTACTTTTAAGAAACGTTTGGTTCACAAAATCATAAATTTTTTTAAAAAATGTGATCCCTAAAAAAAATGCAATACTAGAGGTTTTTTTTCATTTTCAGTACATCTCGTATTTAGATTCACTCATTTTGTTGGAAGAATTCATATATATTAAATCCTGAATAATTACTATAATCTCGTTGATATATGTTATGGTAACTTAAATAAACCAATTTTTAATTGAAAAGAGATTATTCAATATATTTTTTGCTAAAAAACATCTTAAATAATCCTTACAAAAAATTGAATGAAGTTATTCAAGGTATTTATGGTAAAAAACATCTAGACTAATCCCTTCCAATTTTTTAGAGGGGACTATTCAATACATTTTCTGCTAAATACACCTTCAATAATTCTCTCTCATTTTTTAACAAAAAATATCTTGAATAATCCTTAACAAAAAATTGAATGGGATTATTCAAAGCGTTTTCGACAAAAAATGCTTTGAATAATCTCTTTTAATTAAAAATTTGAAGGGATTATTTAAGGTTTTTTTGGTTAAAAATACCTTCAATAATCCCCTTCAAATTTTTTTGAAAAAAAAAACGCTTTAAATAATCTCTTAGAAAAAATTGAAACGGGTTGGTCAAGACGCTTCTAACCACATTGAATAATCCCCTTCAATTTTTATGAGGAGATTATTCAAAGCATTTCTAGCCAAAACACCTTTAATAATCTTCTCCAATTTTTTTTAAGGAATTATTTAAGGCATTTTAAAAAACAAAAAAACAATGAGAGGAGATTATTCAAGGTTTTTCTGACAAAAAACGTCTTAAATAATCCACATTAATTTTTATGAAAAGATTATTAAATGCATTTTTACCCATAAAATACTTTGAATAATCTCTCACAAAAAAATAAAATGAGATTATTAAAGGCATTTCTGATAAAAAAAATACCTTAAATAATCCTTTTCACTTTTTATGAGTGAATTATTCAATGTATTTTTAACAAAAAAATGTATTAAATAATCTTCTCCAAATTTTTTAAAAGGATTATTCAAAGCGTTTTTAGTCAAAAATATCTTAAATAATCCAAAACAAAAAATTGAATGGATGTCATTCAAGGTGTTTTTAGCAAAAAAAATGCTTTCAATAATCCTTTCATAAAAATTTTTAAGGATTATTTAAGGTACTTTTTTACCAAAAATACATTAAATAACTTTCATTCAATTTTTTATAAAGGATTATTAAATGTATTTTTTTATGCCAAACGTCATATATAAACTAAATTTTTTACTAGCAGAAACTTACAATTAATTTGCATTTATTTTCAGACATACTTTTTAAAATGATAACGATTATTTCATAATTTTTTAGTCAGATCAAATTTAAAAATATCGCTACTTTTTCTTCTATAATTTTAAAATTTCATAAAGAAAAGTAAGTTTTTGATTTTAAGACTTTGAATACTATTAAAAATCAGTTAAACTTTTTAGAATCAAATTATCTTAAACCAAATATTATAACAAAATACCTAATAGTAAGATTTCAAAAAAAAAAATGTATAAATTCTTCCAAATCAAACGTCTTTTTAATTTTTTTAATACATCACTTATGTGTATAATAAATCGTAATCAAGGGACTAATACTATATATAGGTATAGATTTAACTATAAACAAAAAAAAAAAAAAGGGATAAAAAGGCTGATAAAATTGATCTCTAAAAATAATTAACTCAGATTTGATAACTTTAGGCTATGTTGCCTTTACAAAAGTTCCTCTATCCATTACAGAAAAGGTAAAAGAAAAACCTTGAGAAAGAAAAAACAAAAAGGGTAATAATAAAAATTTTTCAGAGGAACAAAACTGACACGGGTCACTCACTCAAGAGGCAGAAGTTGTACGCAAAGTGGCTGGTTAGGCGATGGAAGCGAAGCCACGGCGAATCTCCCACCATTTCATTCGTTCCCGTCTCAGCGGCCCCCTCGTTTGACCCTTCTTTCCTTCCTTCCCTAAAATAATAAAATCCGCCTCCCAAACACCAAACCCGCCATTTTCCACCACCGTTTTAACAATGCCAAAGTTCCATCTCCAATTCAAAAATTCCCTCCCCGACCACCAACGTCGCCACCCATTGCCCTCTAATTCAAATTTACTAGTCCCCGGTGGTTTATTCATCGACCCCAACTTTTCCCCTTCTTTCCTCGGCTTCATTTCCCCATTTAAAGATTTTTCGGCTTCCAAAAAACCGGCTTGCTTTGCTCGGAGGCAAAAGCCGGAGTCGATTGCGGTTAAGGACTTATTTTTTTTGTCTGTTAGCTTGAGCAACGATGGGCTTGTTTCAGAACCGAAGGAATTTCTCCTACAAAACGGAGTAAAAAGGAAGAGCAATGGGGAAGTAGCTGTAGCCAAACGGAATGTTAGGGTAACGCGAAGTGGCGCTGTCAATACTACCAAGCATTTGTGGGCTGGAGCTATCGCTGCCATGGTTTCAAGGTAACATTTACTTGATTTCAATTGTAATTTAGCCTTTTGCCTAGAAACCCATGTTATTTATTTTATTTTTATCGACTCTAATTATTGTTTTAAATGATATAGAACATTTGTTGCTCCGCTAGAGAGATTAAAGCTTGAATACATAGTTCGTGGTGAACAAAAGAATATATTTGAGCTTGTTAAGAAGATTGCTGTGACGCAAGGATTATTTGGATTTTGGAAAGGGAACTTGATTAATATTCTTCGCACGGCTCCTTTTAAAGCTGTGAATTTTTATGCTTACGATACGTATAGGAAGCAATTGCTTAGATTGTCTGGAAATGAGGAAACCACAAATTCTGAGAGGTTTGTTGCTGGCGCTGCAGCTGGCATTACCGCCACTGTACTCTGCTTACCACTTGACACTGTACGTGGAAACATGAGATTTCATTCCTTTTTTCATTATTCTATCTTCAATTTCACCTCACTCTTATAGGCATGTTAAGTGTATGCAGTTCTATATTGTAAGTTAGAGGCAACTGCTATAAATAGCTGATGTGCAATTGTTTATACTTTTTATTATTATAAAGGTTTGTCAAAGTTGTAAATTAATGTTAGCTTCTAGTCGCAAATTTTATGAGTACGTTTCTGGACCAAATATCGTGATAATTTCCCTTTATTGTCATCACAATGTCATGTCTAGCATGATTAAATCTGGATACTTTGAGATTTCCAATATAATACTTTTTGAACAATCAAGGTGAAGGATAGTGGCTCCAGGGGCATCTTTCTATTTAAATTATGATAGTGCGATATGGAATCAAAATGTTATTTAATAAGAAACTTTGATTCTAGTTCGAGACTATTAATGCTCAATGGGATATTAAAAATGTATGATACCCAAACTACATTGAAATATGATAAGTTCCTCTACTGAGGATGGCTATTTAGACCTTTCCTCTGTAAAGGCTTTTGTCAAATTCTGGGCTCACTGTAACTAGCTACATATTAGGAGGACCATTTTTTACTGAATATGAATAATTTCATTCTGTTCCTCTCCCAATAATCATCAACTTCTTACAGCAATTTTTTTCTGCTTTGTTTTATTTTGTTCTGTACTTTGTACATTTATTAAAGAGCACATAATGTGCAACTTACAAGTGTTTTAAGCTTTCATGCTTCCAGCAGGTGCATACCAGTTAATGATTAATTTTTCTTTCTTTTTTCTCCCTTTTTTCCCTTCGTCTACGAGGATAGTTATTGACTACTTGTTTATTGTTGTATTATACAGATCCGAACTAAGATAGTGGCACCAGGTGGGGAAGCCTTAGGCGGTGTCATTGGTGCATTTCGCCACATGGTCCAAACTGAAGGATTCTTTGCACTCTACAAAGGTCTAGTGCCTTCTATTGTAAGCATGGCACCTTCAGCTGCAGTGTTCTATAGTGTGTATGATATGTTGAAATCAGCTTATCTGCACTCACCGGAAGGTAGGAAAAGAATTCAGAACATGAGTCAGATGGGGCAGGAACTGAATGCTTTGAATCAGCTAGAGTTGGGACCAGTAAGGACGTTACTATATGGGGCTATAGCTGGTGCTTGTGCTGAAGTTGCTACTTACCCATTTGAAGTTGTGAGAAGACAGATGCAATTGCAAGTCCAGGCAAGCAAAATGGGTGCATTGGCAACTGGTGTGAGGATTGTTGAGCAAGGAGGAGTTCCAGCACTCTATGCTGGGCTAATTCCCAGCTTGCTACAAGTAAGTGGATATGAAGCTCTTAATAAATCCTCTGGAATTGTTTCTCAAAAGCTTTATGCTAATTACCCTCTTCATAAATGCAGACAAGGATTAAACAATCAAGATAACAGCAGAACATGAGAGTTCATCACATATTTATGTTTCTTTTCTGTTCTGAAGTTATATGAACTTGATTATTTTCTACATTATTTTAATATTATTTATAGCATTTGATCTGAAAAGTGTTTAAATGGGGTATTTTAACTTGTTGACCCCCCACTCTTTGTGGCTCATATGATTTTCACCTCAACACAATATCATGTATGTTGTCATCTTTCTAAACTCTATGCTGTTGTTCTATTGAGCTTACTACAAAATGTGGCTCTTGATACTAAGTTGAGTTCCTCATGACTCAAATTTGAGGGGTATGAATTACCAGAGAAAAGAAAATTTTGATGCGTGCTTCTGGAATTATGTTCTACTTAGATAATCTAATCCCAAATCGTATTTACTTGCGTGGTCTTTGTGATAATGAATTTTAAAAAGGAATTGTATAATCTTGCTTTCTTTATTATTTTTTTAATTTTTAAATTCCCCCGTTGATTATGACATTTTTCATCTTCAGGTGCTTCCTTCGGCTGCAATAAGTTATTTTGTATACGAGTTTATGAAGATTGTTCTCAAAGTGAATTGAAGAGAGACAACGGATCCTCTCAGGAAAAGAATTGCTAGGATGTTGTACGGTGACTATAAAATGAGCGCGGCACAAAGATTGAGAATGATAAGAATTAGTCATTTAAACTTAACAGTTACTGTTGATGTTCACATATTTTTTGTACCTGACAAGAGAGAAATGGAAATCTTTATAGACATCTTAAGTTAATTTCTTGATTATAGATCCACCATCCAATTGCTGACCGAATATAATTTAGTGGTTTTCATTTCTATCATGTTTGCGGCGTATCCTCCTTCATAAGACCTGGACCTTGCTGATGCATTGAAACATTTGCTAGGGACCTTGGGTGGTTGGAAGGGGATGTATAATAACCGCTTTTGATGATGTCATTTATGAATGACACACACTTGATGCTTCCAAATGATTTGAAACATTTGATAAGAACGATTTCAAATATGTGTCATCATCTTTGGGCAAAAAGAGAGAAAGAAGTCAGCCCCTCCTGTGGAATTAGTAGAATGTGTCACCATCCACATAAATTCTCTGCTTATAAAATGGGAAAGAAACCCTCTTAACATTCTTTTTTTGCACTCCTCGTCTATGTTCAAAATTTTGGTTCTGCCTCTGGCATTTGAAGGTATATCTAATCTAATTATAGCTGTCCAACTGCGCTCAACTGACTGGCAAGGGCTACATGATGCTTCCGTCTTGCGCAGTCTGGTAGCACAATCTGTTACATTCATAAGAAAAATATATGTTTGAAGTTCAGGAAATGACTTGTATTTGTTCAACTCTCGTAGTGTCAGATGCCTAATTTTATATGATATGCCATCAATCTTTGTACAAAGAATGATAATCAGATGCAAGCGCATGGTCTTCTCCCTTACGAGTTTGAGACCATGTATGCAAAGGTGAAAAGCAATGTTCCTATAACATACCCCGGTTTTAGGACTGGAGTTTTCTATGTGGAGAACAATGGTGGTCAACAGTAGGATGAAACTGGACTTACAATTGTGTTTGTGAATGGTTTCAGTAGATTATCTTCACTTTATTCATTAAGATGAGGGTTCATAGGAAATGGCTTGCTGGACCACGAGGCAAATGGCTTTGAATTAAAAGTTAAAAAATTTCTCTCCGTTAATGAAAATACAAGAAAAAAAAAGGATGTTTGTGTCAATAGGGCTGTAAGGCGCAAGCGGTAGCACCATGGTGCTTGTGCAAATAGGAATGCAGTGTAGTTAAAACTATACCCTGCTGCTGAGTTATTTTTTCTAGTGTCTATAGGCTGTTGAGTAATTTTTGACAGACACAAAAAAAAAAAAAAAAAAACGAAAAGAAGGTTTTTCTTTAATAGATTTCATGGAATTTATGATTCGTTACATGGGCTCAATCTTCAATTATTGTATGATTAAAACAACACCATCTTATTCCAAACAACGACTAAAAGCGACAGAAAAAAAAAAAAAGGAAAAACCCTAATTAAAACCCCCCATGCCAAGTACGCAGTCGTGTCGATCACCGTTCCTTAAACCTCATCCTCGTGTAGAAGCATATTAGGAATTCCCTTATTAACAGGAAACTTCCTGCCCGTCTCGGGGCAAACAAGAGCACCTTCCTCAAGATGAAGCTCCAAGAGGGCATGATGAAACTTTCTCAAAAACTCGAGGTCCGACTCCAACACCGACGGCTCAGGTGCTTCCTCAGGAAGCTCGACGTAGCCCATGATTCTCGAAGCATCCGAAAAAGCTTTCCAATCGATCTTCGGGAATATGTTCCTGAGGAAATCGTGATTGATTTCTACTTCCTTCTCCACCACTTTCTCCACTTCGATCCTCAGAGGAAAACCGTTGGTTACCCCCTTGATGTTTGACGACAACATGTTGTGAGTTAGCAACCTCATCTTGTTCCTTTCTTTTCAGTCTTTTCGCTTGTTTTGGCTTATGGGTTAAATAGAGTAAGGAGCAGAGGGATTATTGATGCTTGGCTTGTCTGTAGGGGTTTAGCTTTTCAGTCTTTTTGTTTGTTTTGGCTTCAGGGTTAACTCTAGAAAGAAGCAGAGGGATTATTGATGCTTGGCTTGTCTGTAGGGGTTCAGTGCCTTATGGTCCTAGCATTTATTCGTCTAATTTTGGGGGTAATATAGTGATTTGATATGTTAAGCCTTTGTTCATAAGCCCGGACTAGGTTTGGGCTGGGGTTACTTTTATTTTTGGGGTTACTTAGGCCTAGCTCATAATATACCAATTTTCCATATTTTAGAAATATACAAATAAATGACCAATTGAGGCTAACTCAAGTAGTAAAAGGGAGTTTCCTAAAAAAAAAAAAAAAAAATAGTAAGAGTTGAGATTTTTGTTCAAATTTTAGTTTCAAATGGTGGTATTTTCTCTTGTGAAAAAATTAATAGATGAAGATAAAATGGATAATAGCCAATTCCTAATGGGTTTGACTCATTTTGATTGAATAAGATCAGATTTTTTTTTTAAATCAAGTCAGGTGGAGTTTTTTCTCTCATGTCAAATTCGGGTCAAAGTTGAGTTTTAGGTAGCATTGTCTTGATTTGACCTGAATATATGTAAATTTTTTTATTATTTATTTAATTATATATATTATATTAATATAATTATTATTTAATATTTTAATTTAAGATATTAATTTAATAAAAATATTATATTTATGTATGATTAAGATATAATTTATAAAAAATAATATTTTTGAATATTATATTAAATTAAAATTATTAAATTAATTTCATATTGGATTGATTGTAATTTATGAATATATAAATCAAATTAGAAATAAAACATACTATTTTAATATTAGAGTGGATTGAATTTGGATATAAATATTAAGGAGTTGAATCGAACAAAAATCCACTTCAATCCAATCCATTGCCATCTCACTAAATGATAAAAATAGTTTGATGATTATATAATTATATTATTGTAAGTAAAGGTTTCTATGTTGAAGCCACTATCCTCCAAGTCTAAACAAACTTCACAAATTTTACCCAAAAAAATTTACAAATACAAAAACCTTAGTGTTGAAATTTACTTTATAGACATCTTATATAAATATATAAAAGTCAAAGCTTTGATAAAAATGAAACAAATTTTATGCGGACCGCTTAAAATATTGAGATGCTGATGGTTTTAAAATTATCACGTGACATCTAATAAATGCATTTTATTTTATTTAATATATTTTTAATTTAAAAATAATTCAAAAAACTAAATTGATTATAATTTTGTTTTTATTATTAATCTTAAACCACTCTCAATTCAATCTTATATAAATATATAAAAGTCAAAACTTTTAATAAAAATTAAAAAAATCCTATGTGGACAGCTTAAAATGTTGACATGTGGATGATTTTAAAAATCAACACATGACATCTAATAAATGCATTTTATTTTATTTAATACATTTTTAATTTAAAAATAATTCAAAAAACTAAATTGATTATATTGATGTTTTTATTATTAATCTTAAATCACTCTCAATTCAATTGATATTAAAAGTATTAAAAATTTCTTAATTTAAAAAATTAAATCAATCAATATGTAATTAATAAATTAATAAATATTACAAGAACAACTATAAAATAGTTAATTCTCTAATAAATTATTTGATACATTTATATTTGATTAAATATAGTATCAGTAATTGATGTATTTCATATATAAATATATAAAGCAAATATAATTCAAAAAACTAAATTAATTATATTTATGTTTTTATTATTGATTTTAAATCACTCTCAATTTAATTTATATTAATTTTAAAACTTTCTTATTTTGACTAATTAAATCAATCAATATATAATTAATAAATTAATAAATGCTATAATTACAATTATAAAATAGTTGATTCTCTAATTAATTATTTGATACATATATATTTGATTAAATATAGTATCCATTTTAGTAATTGATGTATTTCATGATGTGTTTCATGTGTAAATATATAAAAGCAAATATATCAAATTAATTCTCCTTAAATTAATGGAATAAAATATTTTATTAATTTATATTTGATTGATACATTTATATTTCATAAAATATGATTTCATTTAATAAAATATTAATGCACGTTAATTTCATTTATTTTCATTTGTAATGTTTTATAATTTTATTATTTGATATTAATGCACGTTGATTTAATTTAAATTTATTTTATTTTATTGCCATTATTAAATACAATAAATTTAATTTGTTTTATTATTTTAAATTAAGGGATCTCTAAATATTAATGGCAAAATAAAATACTTCAATATCAATTAACTTACCATTTTTAGACCATTATTCACTCACAATTTTTATTATTTCAATATTAATTTTCATAATTAAAAATTATCTTATTAATTGATTATATTTATGTTTTTGCCTTTGACTTTAAATCACTCTCAATTCAATTCATATTAAAACTATTAAAATTTAAAATTTTCTTAATTTGACAAATTAAATCAATCAATATATAATTAATAGTTTGATAAGTGTAGCAATTACAATTATAAAATAATTAATTCTCTAATTAATTATTTGATATATTTATATTTGATTAAATATAGTATCTATTTAAGTAATTAATGTATTTCATGTGTAAATATAGAAAGCAAATATATCAAATTAACTCTCCATAATTAAATTAATGAAATAAAATATTTTATTAATTTATATTTGATTGATAGATTTATATTTCATCAAATATGAGTTAATTTGATTTCATTTGATAAAATATAAATGCATGTAGATTTCATTTGATAAAATATTAATGCACACGGATTTCATTTGTAATATTTTATAATTTTAAAATCCAAATATTAATATATGTTGATTTAATTAAAATTTAATTTGTTTTATTGCCATTATTAAATACAATAAATATAATTTGTTTTATTGTTCTAAATTAAGGGATCTGTAAATGTTAATGATAGAATCAAATATTTTAATATCAATCAACTTACCATTATTAGACCATTATTCACTCACAATTTTTATTATTTCAATATTAACTTTCATAATTTAAAATTATTTTATTAATTAACCTACAACATACCTTTTGTATAAGTAGCTCTAGGTCAAGTATAATGCATCTGTAATCATTTTTCACTAATTTTATATCTTTTGATTACTAATTAACTCTACTTTAATTTTCTCTTTGATTTTTACTTTGCATTGTTTCTTGGTCTGCGCTACTCAAATGTTATTCTCTTTTTATACTTATACTTTATATTTCTTTAACTATGATATTAGCTTTTTTTTTAATATTTTTGTGTTGATGATTGATTTAAAGATGATTGGTTATATACAGGAAAAGTCTTTCACCAGTAAAATCACTATCATGAAAATTGATACCACTTTTTGGTTGATGCTATATGTCATGTGGGTATAGCAAGAAACTATTTGAAATTGATGGAAAATTTCAATGTTATTTCTATAATGTTGATGCCTCTAATCCAACTCCAAGGTAATTAGTATTTATATTTTTTATATTTGATACATATAAAAATTATTATTCCGTAATGATAATAAAAGTATTTTAAATTATTATATTATATTTATAATTGTAGATTTTTGCATTTTTTATAGGTATAAGTTAAATATTGAGATATATGATAATTCTAGAATAGTGATGTTTATATTGTTCAATACAGAAGCAAATGATTTAATTAATAAAGATATTAACAATCTTTATGAAATATCTGTTAAGGTATTTAGTTAAATATTATTTTAATATTATTTAATATTCAAATTAATTGAATGGTATATTTATACTTATGATTTAAGAAAATGGAGATTACAAAATCCAAGAAATATTTGAAGATCTTAGAGGTAAATTAGTGTGTTCGATACGAGGGCAACCAAATATAATCTTGAGACGAGTAGTACCAAACTTGCAATGAATAAGGTGTATGATTTTGATCATAAACTTGAATGTCAAAAATTATTGAAAGAAGTATGTGTAAGTTTATTACAATGATTATGTTTGTTATAAATTTATATAGTCTAGATTATAACTCAACTATTATCAAATTACAAATTACTGTTTTATCTATTTTTTTACCTCCATCTGTGAAATTTATTAGCTCATCAAGTAGAATGACACTTACTTAAAAGATAACAAAAAATACTGGAGAATCAATTGTTACATCTTCACTTCAACAACAATTTATGAAAGAATCTTTCATAAAAAAAATTTATATGCGAAATTAATTTTAAGGATGAAATTTTTTAATTTTTTGAAATTGAAAACATTATTATTTTTTATTTAGAGATTATTTGGATTCAATAAATTATAGTTTGATTTTTTTTTTAGAATTAATGATAATTGCATAAGTATATTCAATATGTAATTAATTTATTTTATTATATTAAAATATATAAATTTAAATAAAATAATTATATAAATTATGAATTATTCATAAACTTCATAATTTATATTATCATTTAAAAAAAATTTATATTTATATAAAATTTATTAATATATAAATATATTTTCGTGGATCACACGAGTTAAAACTAATTTATATTTGTTTCTCGTAGCATTCCCAAGTGAGATTGGCACCAACTTGCATTGAGAAATCCCCAAAGACTAAAGAATCGAAAATAATTTGTCACTAAATGGCACATGCTGACATGCACATCTTTTTTGTCTATTTTCTGTAATGAAAAAAAAAAAAATGAAAACCAGGTATCTATGGTGGCACAATTACGAGAAGAATTGAGCCATATCTTCAGCAGTCACAATTGCGCATATATGAACCCGGAAACAACTCCCAAATGCGCAGATTTAACAATCCCAAAGAAGTTGGCAAACACTGATTATCCCAAAAACTCAGCTAAAAACAAAAATCATCTGAAGGGTTCCTTGATTAACTTGATATGAAAGTCCACCACTTGTACAGGCCAAAGCCATAAATTGTGGTGTAAATAATCACTCTCATGGGATAGATCCTATACCTGCACAGAAATCTAGACAATGAGAAAAAAAACCTAACAATCAAATCATCTCCTAAAAGTAGAGGTAAATTAAAGTTCCAATTCCGTTATTCTCTCCAAAGTTAGGTTCTTTAACACGTTCTCATTTGGGATGTCTACTCCAGACTCCAGACTCCAGAAAGATATCTTAGACCACCATAGACAATCTAGACAGGTGCTTTGAATGTAGATCATACATGTATGGAACCAGTACAGTCTACAGTAGGATGATTAATGACCAGCTAAAAGTCTCTGATCAGATATGATAAATTTGGATGGTCGATAAGAAAGAAAAGATCCAACGATTAAACGAAGTGAGGATGAGGTGGGGACTGGGAATCCCTTTTCACCTGCCAATTGAAGCACTAGTCTACCGGCCAGCCTTGAAGTGATTAAATGCACCCATGGCTTAATTAATTCATTCAACCAACCAAAGTAATATGGTCTCCTTGAGCTAAATGGAGTAATTAAGGTTGATTTTGAGTATTGTAATGCATGGTAAATGATACGAAAAAAAAAAAATGAAACTTATTATCATAGTAAATTTAAGTTCTAAACTACAGTTTTATTAACCTAATCTCCATGTGAAACTAAACCTAAACAGAACCTACAGTCCAACAATGTTTCATCATCCACTGAGAAGCACCTTATTACCTATATGCTAAAAGGTGATTTAGTTAAGAAAAGTAAAGCACCTTATTACCTATATATGTGCAAAACTGCGGGAAAGAAGATTGAGAAAACTAGAAACTCGATATCTATGAGGAAATATTGAAAAACAAGAAGAAAAGAAAGGAGAAATATTTAATTGTTAACCTTTTGAATCCAGATCTTCGAGCGAGAAGAGCAGCTCTTTCTTCAGCAGTAACCGGATAACACCACCGAGAAAAGTCACGATCGAAGTAATCCCAGTCAGGCAAAAGTATGCCAGCAATCCCAACCATCCCAAACGCATAAGTTATCATCATTTTCTTCAAAGATAACGTGAATATTCCAACTAACGCTATGATCACCGCTATCCATACTATAGCTGACCTTAAAGCAGCATCGTTAGCCATTTGAGTCCAAGGAAAAGAAAAGGGTGACAGCTACCTTTAACCTAATAATAATAACTTAAAGCCTGAGCAAGAAGAAGAGGAAGAAGAAAAAAGAAGGGTGTAGATGTGAATGGAAACCTCTGGCGGCACTGAAAAATGGGAAGAAAGAGAACTTTTTGGGTGTTTTTGCTGAAATTTATGAAAGTAGTCAGCGAACTAACTGCATTTAATGCCTATTGTCTCAACGGTTCCTTGGTTTAAATTATTAAATGTTTGTTCGTCATTTATTGGGTTTTTGGATGGAGTATTTCTCAAATTTTCTTCATACCTAACGTGGCACGTGTGCCAACCGACGAGCGTGACATGTTTGCATTGCCATGCATCATTTCCTATTCGAAGACATGCAGCCTAATCAATTGAAATTAGCTGACCATATGAAGGAATGGGATTTGATACATTAATTTTATAAAGAAGGGAAGATTTGGTAATTCATAGATTCTAGTAGATAATTAATGACTTTTTTAATTCAGATTTGGCAAGCTATGAGCTATTCCAAGGTTTTGTCCTCAGTTTCATTAGCCAAAAAAAAAAAGCTAGAAAAAAGAAAAATGTTTGATATTAGTCTTTGTCATTAAGAAAAGCGTAGAAAATTATGAAGAGTGAGTCTCTCTGTCAAAATCAGACATGGCCCAAATATAAATATAAGGACAAGTCTAGGCCGATATTGGTCTGCATATTTAAAGCCCAACACAAGTTCAATTGCTCAACCCATATATAGGCCCATTCTCTACTCCGTCAATACGTCCAAGCCCATGTATAAGCTGTTCACATGCGGGATGGATGGCTACAGGAAAAAAAAAAAAAAAAAGCTTCATATCTTTTTGGTTGTATTTATGTCTCAATTACAGTTTTAATTTTACATTTATATATATAGAAGATCTTATTAATCATATGTATATGTCAAAATAAAAAATACAAATAAGCTTTAGGTAAGCTTTCAAACATGCACTTGGCTTGTCCATACTACATAACTCAAAACCAATGTATATATTTATGAATTTCTTGACTAAACAGTTTATGAATAGGAAATGGATCAAGATTTTGAATCAAGATCATGGGCAATCAAGATATTTCATGTTGTGCATATCATTTTGGCAGTAATTACTTGACATAGAACAATTATTGGATTTTTTTCCTCTTTCGCTCAATACATGTAGCAGCCAATTCTATTTGGAACTTTGTATATGAACGTATATACATTTAATTAATCCATTATTGTCAGGAGTCCAAGCATACAGGAAACTGATTGATCAGAAAACAAGTACCTTTGGTGGCCCATAAGTTATCAAATTAAATTATCATATGTTTGCCCATGTGTTAATCAAAAGAGACGTACTAACAGTTCTGACTGGATTTTTCAGCACAGAAGTCCAATTTTGCGGCCATTAATAGTGTATGTACATATGTATATAGGAGGAGAAAAACTGACCTAACTCGAAAAATGATTTTCAAAAAATAAATTTTACATTTTTAGATATTTATTTGATAAAAAATTAATTGATTAATAAAAAATAATTTATTAATCAGTAAAAAATGAAGTTACTATTTTAAAAATTATTTTACAAAATAAAAAAAATATTTTTTAAAAATAATTATTTTTAAATAAAATTATTTATCAATACTTTTAAACATAATTTTATTTATAAATAATATAAAAAATAATAAATAGTTTTATTTTAAGTATTTTATATTAATATTAAATATAATTATTTTTTAATATTAATAATTTTAATAATAAATATTTTCAATATATTTAATAATAAATTATTTTTAATATTTTAATAATTATATTAATATTATTTTTAAAAAGATTTTTTAAAAAATAATTAAATAATAAAAAATATTTTTATTAATTAATTCAAATAATAAAAAAATCTCTTTTAATTTAAAAAATATAAATATTTTTTAAAAATTATTTTTCGAAAATCATTTCTTACTACAAAACAAATAGAGCCTAACAGTAATTAGGTCTACACATTTGATGGTTGTTGATGCTATCAGTAAGAATATTATAGCCAAAGTTACAGGTACTGAATAGGACGCCCCCACCGAAATATTAAAATGCTTTAGATTTATTAAGAAAAAATCTCATAAATTTTAGAAATTTTAAGCTTTACCCCTATTAAAATTTTTTTTATCATATTTACCCCCATTAAATTGAAGATTATGAAAGAAAATATTTTATTGTTTATCTAGTAATTAAACATTTATATTTTAAATGATAAGCAATTTCATTATTGTATATATATATTAATTTTGAAGAAAAATAAATAAAAAACTTTTATAATTCATATAAATAATATATAAAGTATGAATTAATAAAAATAAATAATAAAAAACGATCTTTAACTAACATAGATTTGTGTTTCATTCTTATTTTCAATGTAAATAAAAAATTATTATTTTCATTATATATGAGAAAATAAGCATTTATTATTCTTCACATTATAATGATTAAAAAATTGAAAGTAAATATTTCACATATCATATCTATGTTTAAGAATTTTATAAGTAAAATTTTCTTAAATAAATATATATACATATTTATGTGTGTTTATGTCTACAGGTGCAAAAAATTTTATTAAATAAATATATATTTATATTTATATGTATCTGTGTTTGTAAGAGCGTGTGCCAAAAAATAATTTATTTATGATATAATAGTATTTAGTCTATATTCGTCAATAATTATATAATTAATTTTAGCTATACAGATATTGTATTTATAACATAAAAAATTATATTCTATAAAAAAATTATTATACATGTTAATTTGTTTAGAATTTTTTATATTAATTTATCTTTCAATAAAAATTTTAATAAATTGAGTTAAAATATTTGTCCCCACTTATTAAAAATCTTAGATCCATCCCTGGTTACAGGGGAATCCCTTATTAATGGGCTGTCATCTTGGAACCTTGAATCAGGAGGGGTGAGAGATCGAGACAACCTGATACCAATTTTTTTTATTTGTTTGGATATTTAAAAATACCACTAAGAAAGGACCTTGAGCTCGATCAAAGGTGGTTAAGGAGGGGGGGAGGACTCGATCAGGAAGGGGACCATTGACCATCATGGTAAAATGTCAATGGCAGCTAGGATACAAACAGATGAGACGGACAACACTCACATGGCACTTGTACCTTGCTTGCTGCTAAAACCTGACTAACGTGTTTAATTAATTGCTGAACCCATGCACCCTCATCTTGTCCTAACCATATATGTTTTCTCCCCTTTCTTTGTAATTGTTGTGTGATCTTATATACGTGCTGCTATGTTTCCCACCAAAAGAAAAAATAAAATAAAAACCCAAGCATCCCAACATCAGTACTACTGATATTATAAGTAGGTATAAATAAAGGAAATTAAGCACATGAAATTAATATATTTTTGGCTAACATTGTTCAATCATTATTTAGAACTTGAGAAGAATTTTGTTCTTTGCTTTGCATCGGTAGCTAATCATTCCAATTTGGAAAAGGTACAAACAAGAGGAACAGAATAAACGGCAAATTGCTGCTTTCCATTAGAGAAAAGAGTCGCTGCTATGACGATGGCGTTGAAGAAATTTCTTCCTTCAATTGGATATCCTTTTGATTTTTGTACGTTAGGAATAGACATCATTATCTATCTTTGGACTTTCATGTCCATTTTTTTTTTATTCAAAGCTAAGGATAAATTATGAAATCTTCCTATAAACACATATATATATACCAGATCAGCTCTATTTTTGCTTCTCTAAATTTTATACCTCTATATATATCCCCCAGATTGTGAAGAAAAAAAATGTACCGATTTAAATTTTCCCACTCTTCATTATCATTAAACATTTTTATAACATGTTGGACCAAAATATTTAGGTAAAGGGAAACTATCTCATTCTAGATTGAAAAAAAAATTATTGACATAAAAAATGGAATCTAAATATTACAAACAAAGTATTTCTTACAATGTTAATTAGTAGCCATATGACTAACTAGCTTTTTTTTTTATTAATAATAGTTAAAGTGATATTAAGTCATATTAGAGACTTGATTTTTCTTTAGGCAGAAGATTCCACGGAGTAAGGTGGTTTTTTGTTTATATCATTGAAACGACACCATTGATAATTGGACCTATACATATTTGGCTTGGTTACCATGATTCCAATTGCAAAGTTTTGCAAGTGGTTGACCACTTGCAATGCCTTAGCAGGGAAGTTAATAAAGCATAAAAAACCAAATGAGATATCCAAAATGGAAATCACTTGATTTTCTACCTTTTGGCCTAGTGATTAGGAGACTTTGAAAAAGACATATGGTGTGGGTTTTAACTCTGCCTTTCCTTTTGTAAAGGTTTTGCTCTCTTATGAAAAAAAAAAGGATAGCGTGTGAATAATTCCCTGAAAATGGATGATGGAGAGAAAATACATGAATTTATTAATGGGCCCTAAAGTTGAAGAAGAAAATTTTCAAGGGAAAAAAAAAGAAGAAGAAGAAAGAGGAAAAGCATACAAGGAGGAAAAGAAGAAGTCAAGATTAGGGTGATAATTTGGGCAAAAAGGTCCAGGCCATTTCTCCCTGTGATATAGCCTAATATATATAGGCATCAAGTCTTTGGACACTATCACAGAAATTAATCATGTCAACAATGCATTTCCCTAAATTCCTATGATGATAAAGTTTTAATTTTTTTTTATTCGGGCATTTGGATCAATAAGTGTACATATCTTTTTTTTTTTTTCAAACAAATAGAATTTAGCCATGGTTTTCTTAGATTTACAAAAAATAATATCAATAACCCTATAATTGTTTATCATGTTGAAAAACACTATAAAGCCGGAAGGCTTGTTATTTATCCGAGATAAGTAATCAACTTATCCATTAATTCATTGTAATTTGTTTATGTGTCTCATATTTCAAGTTTAAAATTAAAATTATATGAAATAAGTGATTTGCCATTAATATAGTATACTACAATGGCATTACTAAATACATCCTATGGATCATGTTATCTCATGCATGCATGTATGTTGGATGTTTAACTTTCAAGTTAATTATAGATAGAGAAGTCATCACATTTTTAAAGCTGTTGTCAATAAAGCTTTAAAAGAAGGAAACAATCCTGCAAAAATAGCATAAAAGAGAGAAAACAATTAATGAAACATAAAAGATACATATATATATGTATGTATATGCTTTGAAAATGGATGCTGAATGATAAAATAGATAGATATAGTACTTTAAATTGGACAACTTTGAACTTCCAATAGCTAATAGAGTTGGAGAGTGACTTAAAAATGACTTTTCAATTTTATTTTCTTGTTCAAAGTTGCTGGAATCGATTCATTGTTGCTAATCAGGAACCAATA